TAAAGAATAAGAAATCCGAATCATTGATCAAGAATTATGAAGTCAACTCTTTTTCATGCTTCAAGATGGCAATGCATTATTCTTAACATTTTTATAAGCAGTAAGTATTTATTTATTATGTATATTATTAAAAAGGAAGAAAAGGTAAGAACTAGCTTTGAGAAGATGAACATTTAATTGGTGGTATTTATTTTAATTAATGCTTAAAAATTTAGATGTTTTCAAACATACTAAAGTAGCTTTTCTCTCGTGCTTTTTTTACAAAAGGTGCAGGTTTTTGTTTAGTAAAAGCTCTCTTTTTATTGTTCTTGTTTTCATTTTAGTCACACACGTATAGGTGAGAAAACAATAAACTAATTTAGAGTGTTGGGCATTGACGTGCTCATTATAGTCAAGAAAGAGGTTGACAACTCCTGTAATCGCCAACAAGCCAGGCAACAGTGTAGATGATACTGTATCTCACATACAGTCTATTAATTTTAGTAAAATAGTCTGCTGCAGTGATAAAATTGTAGACTGTGAGCCACATGTTACAGTTGTCTTTTTTTTTTTCTTATGCCACTCCCAGACCTGAAAACCAGGAAATTTGCCTGCAGGAAGAACAGCATTGAACTACTAAATGCTGGAGAGCATACAAGAAACTGGGCTTCAGTTTGATGCAGTTTAGAAATTTACCTCAATTACGGCAGTACAATGCACTTTGTTTCAATAAATGTATAATATGCACTTTAAATAATTCGTAGAGTAGATAACTTCAATACTTGTTTAAAATGTGGATTCTACAAAACGCCACCGTACACTAATACCTGACTGAACTCATGACCTTTCTCTACATAAATGGACTAATGATGGCACAATTATTTCTGTAATTACGACTTACCACAAAGCAACAGTTAAAAGTTTCGCCCTTACTCTAGCTTTCATGCTGAATGAAAGTGTTAAAACTTGCTGGTGATTTCTTTAAGTTTTGAAACAAACTTTTCGGTAAATCATGGAAACCTATTCAATCTCAAGGCTAAACTAATCATAGAGCTTGAAGAATAGGTGAAAGCTCAGCTCAAAATTAATCTTCTAAATGCAAATATTCCATCATCTCCAGCATCAATTGAAATATACTGTCATCTCACAGCTCCCATTTACCAGATTATTATGCCTTCAACTTTGTTTTTTTTTTATGATTTAGGTGCCTTGTTTCCCCCATATAACACCCAATGCCATTAGATGTGTACGTTTCAAATAAATAATAACTTATAAGAAGTGTCAAAAAAACTGGAGCATCAACCATCATCTCCAGGCCAACTGAAAGGATGGCTAAGGATCCAGGAGTTCCCAGTAGAGACCCAAAATTCTGTTAGACCCAAGAAGAGATCCTTGCAGATTGCTATGGGAAACTTATTCAGACGACCAGACTTCGTTGACATATTGTGGCTTAAACAATTATTAGTAATAACTTAATAACTGAAAGTGTGAAATGCAAATATAGAAGACTACTCAGATATTAATGAAACGAGTTTACAACTAAAACAAGAAATTTAATAAATTAACAAAGAGACATTAAAGTAACAAAAGTATTAATTATTATTCATATTACATATTGTGGCTTAAGCGAATTATTAGTAAAATCATACAAACGAAAGAAAAAAAGGAGTGTATAGTAATGCGTCAACTACACTATATCTGCTATATCCATTGCCGACGAGGACTTTCGTCCCCCCCCTCCAAAAAAGGCTCTTCACGTCACGTACATCATAAACAGAATAGTGATTGAGTTGCTATTTTTATTAGACAACCGCGCGACAACAACCATTACTCTGTGAACTCTATTCCGTAAATAATTTGTAACGTTTCACCAATTCTATTTTTTGTCACAAAACATCAAAATTATGGTAAGGATTGTTTTGAATACAATATTATTTACTAGAGAACCCGTGGGCTTATGGCCTACATTTACAAGGCCGCTATGTAATGCAGATTTAATGCTTGAACTACTATTTTGCACTTTTTCAGGTTAATAATCATTGCTACTATAATGTAAATTTAATTTCTTTAACCAAGTTATAAATGGTAATTAGTAGAACTACTTATTTACGTGCTGTAATGTAAATCAACGCCAAATTTGGGGTCCACTTTCAGGAAATCTCCGTAAAAGTGTTTTCGTGAAATACCCGGTATCATTCAGAAAAAAGTTTTATGTTTGTGCAAGCCTCGGGGCTGAGACGATTCATTTGGCACCATTTAGAATTTGGTAAGTCTACTAGTTTAGAAAAAGAGGTTTTCGGGAAATCTCCAGGTTCCCCTAGAAATGTGGTGTACAATTTTACCTTTATGTAAACCTCCGGACCGAGACAATTCGTTTGGTACCACTTAGGAGGAGGAGTTACATGATATAATATCATTGGGTGTGTTATTGTAAAATTTCAGGAACCTCCGCTAAAAGAACTATTATTAGTTGGCTGACCACTAACTACGCCCACCTGTCACATCCCCTGTCTTACAAATAGCCAGTAATTCTCTGAAGTTTTACATTATAACATCGATAACCAATAGAAAAGCCAAGTTTAATCTATGAAATTACAAATAATGCACCGTTTTTTTTCAGTACAAAGTATTGTAAATTTTGTCTTCAGTTTAAAAGTTTATCTTGTGGTGTTCAGGTCAAAGAGCAAATATAATTATTTTAAGACTCTTTTGTCATAGTTAGAAAGCCAGTTAAATTATAATAGTTATAGGACATTGTTTGTTTGTGCGTATGTTCTTAAATGCGATACCCGAGTAAATATAAATTAATTAGTGTACCAGTACCATCATTATAAAAATTAGACTTACATTTCGTCTGCAACTGACAGCAAAAAACAAAAAGAAACAACAATAAGTCAGAATAATATATTATATTTCTTGTTTTTATGTTTATTTTTTATTTGTTTTTTTCAAAGTAACTAATATGTGAAAAATTATAAATGTTTTAGGTAGGATAAGGTTAGATTACGTAAAACAATGAAAAAATTATAATAGTAATAATTCTTCACGAGGTATGCTCGCGTGTAGCTCATCCTTTATGTCATTCAATGCGGTAATGTGAGCTACACGTTCGCTGAGTGATTTAAAATCTGTGTCTGGATTATTAGTTAGAAATGGTTCAAAGGGCAATAAAGCAATAAAATTGCATAAACTGATATGTACTATTTAGAATAAACAAATGTTCGTTCCTGTTACAATCTTCAGTCATTCTAGAAAGGAAAGAATGTAATTTAAGTATATTTCGCATTTTTATGGTAGTTGTAATGTCAGTCAAATCGACAAAGTCCGTATAGAGTTAGGGTAGAGAAAATAACAGATGAAATATAAACTTTTACTGATAAAAAACGTTTGGTATTTACTTAGGTTTTAGTGGTTATGCAAATGAAGTTTGAATTTTTTCAGATGAAGAAAATTTTCCATTTTGATCAGTCAAGACTCTGACTGCATGCACTGTTGGGAAAATCTTTAGTTATGTAGTATGGCATCATGACATATGGTAAATTCTTGTTACTGTTGTTCAACTGTATTGGCTATCTGGTATCACTAGTACATTGTTATATTCAGCCAACAAGTTACTGAGTTACTGCCACTTCTTTGAGCACATTCCTACATGTGCAATCTCAGATCTACTGGCAACCGTGTATCCGCTATTTGCATGAAGCATGGTGGACGCAACACCTAGCATTACTGCCAGACTCACTCACTTGCTAATGAGCATTCAAGCAATGGAAAACTGGATAACTGATCATTCATAATTGCAGAACAACAACAGAACTTCATCCCTCATCTGCTTGTTTGAACAAAAAACAATACATTTCATTCATGGATTCTATTACTTCGTTACACAGCACCAATGCACTAGATTTCGTCAATAGTAAACCATGGAACACCACTTGTGTACGTGGTGGTGAGTACTTTGAGTTTCTCTTCCACATATATAGTAAGAGATTGACCTATTCAATGTATTTGGATAAATGATAATAAAGAATAAATTGACACGTCTAAATGAAAACTTCATATAGCTTTATTTTATATTACGTTTCAAGCAGACGCCCTTAGTCAGACAGTAAAGGTGGTATTTTTCTTCAACCACAGTATTTAAATGTATTCCCCATTTAAATTGTAACAATAATTTAAATTGTGAAAACCAACATACATCACATTACGCTTTGGATAGTTAAACATCATCTGCCACATATTGGTCCAATGCATCAAATTATTTAAATCTCCCTTTAAGTCTGCAGCATCTGTGATACAGTTAACCAGCCCAAAAATCTTAATGTTATCTGCAAACTTCAAAATTTTGTTAGTCATTCTAGAGACATCTTGGAATTTATGTCCAAACATCATATTGGGGGCTAGAATGCTAACTTCTAGGACAGTTTTGCTGTCTTTCCCATTTATGTAATGTATTCTCTTATTTATTGCTGCTTTTAAAATTTATTTTTGTTCTTTTATTTATTTATTTATTATTTTTTTTCTTGTGAGCAACCAACTTCCCACATCTAGCTGCAGGCAACAAAAGGTGGTAAAAATGTGAAACGTTGTGGGCAAAAGCACCCACATTTGCTCTTCCCCCCCCCCCCCCTTAATGGTGTGAGGCAGGCGAATTTGAGGTATTAACTGGACAGACAGTGTAATCCCAATGCAATTTGTGTTTTATTTCCGCCAGTACCTCTAAATACCAGAGCACACTACATAATGACCCACCTTATGATTTGTGCCCCGGTGTTGGATGTTTGTAATGTGACTGCGATTTTTTTTCCTCTCTCATGAAGTTACATTTAATTATATTTCATCTAAGGTTTGGATATGCTGCGTAAGATTCGTGCTATCCTTCCTTTTGATGTAATCTTTTTTTTCTTCTTTTTTTTTTTTTTTAGCTTTTCTAAATATATATATTGGTAATAGGAGGGTTAAATGACCTATTTATTTATTTGTATGATTTTGCTACCTGGTAGCGACCTCTTTTATAATTTTGTTATGGCGGTGACTGAAATATTTGCCATTGGATATTATACGTTTATGGTAATTCCTGTTAAGCCTAAACGAAGTGTGGATTGTTATCACGGTTGTGAGTGGATAGGTACCACCAAATCATTTTGAGAAAATGGATTCAGACCATATTAAACAAGAAAGAAGAGCACAGAAAAGAATACTTGAAGCCAAAGTCAAAGCAAGACCAGGTAAGTAATATTAACTGATGTAAGATATTACTAAGTTTGTAAATCACAAGTAATTTTTAGAAAAGTAATACTAATACGTTATTAATACTGATAATAATAGTGGATTGTTAGCTACCGAGTTCTTTGACTGACCGATTTGCCAAAGAATATCGGTGGTAATAGCAAAGGCCTCAGAGATAAAATGTCACGTAGTTCGAGAAGTAGGCTTAGGACAACTTAGGATGGTAATAAACTACAGTTCTCATTCTTTGATAAAACTAAAGTCTGAAGTTAAATTATCAAATTTCTGGTATCACATTAACATTATTATGTTATCACTTTATTATTATTATCATGAAAATTAATTTTCATCTGAGTAAATGAGAGTCTTAGTTAATAATATAAGTTTAAACTAGTACAGACTACAACTTAGTTACAAGTATAACAATGAAATTTAAACTTAGTAGCAGTAAGTTACACAAGACAGTTATACTCTTGAATTAATAAACGCAGTACTACTAATAGATTACTATTAAGAAAAGATTTAGGTATTTACTCATTAGTGTTATTATAGTACTATTACTATTAGTACTAGTATTAAAACAATGACTCAGGCTGGAAATTGGAATTGAAAACAGTTTGATAGTTATAATGGCTGGAGACGGCTTGAATGGGTAATGAAGAAAAACCTTGTCGAAACGTTGTACATTTGCTGTTATATTAAAGTTTTTCTTCATTACCCATTCAAGCCATTATTAGTCTCAAAGTGGGTTCCTCGTCATCGAGTTTGATAGTTGTTAATGTTAGTGTTTGTAAAGTAGTCAACTGTCGGACATTACTACACAGAAGTATGTTTTTAAAAACACATTTCCAACAAAGAAATTTCTTTTATTAGTAGGTTTGAGCAACTGCTTTTGTGAAGTGTGATAATTAAAAGAATGTGTAAGAAATTGTTAATGCCTCTGCTAAGTAGACATTCACAGCACCCAGGCTCAAATCAAAAAGTTTGAAATAACAATGATGTATCATAGCACTTGCTTAGTTTAGATATTCTGTCATTCTTGCTTAATATAGTATTGTTATCCATACATACCTGTAATACATGGTAGCTTAAAGAGGACAAAGTAATAGTATTAAATAATGATATACGAGAGAGTGTATAAAAACTTCCTTCCCAACAAAGAGACCTGCCAGTAGGTTGTCCATTATAAGTCCTTTTAACACCAGTATCTTCAGTGAATACTGTATCTAGTTTTTTTTTTTTTTTGTCCTACCTGAATAAGTAATAGTTAACTCACCTTTCACACTGTTAAATCTGTTTTTGTAAATTTATCAAGCATTTTGCAAATAAAAAAATATTTCTTTTTTTTCTAAGAAATTGTCATAAAGTCATAAGATTTTTACAATTTGTATATAGTTTTGTACATTTAGTAAAGAATAAATTTATGTACAATGAGATTAAGAACATGAAAAAACCATAAGCAGTAAGATAACAAAAGCCCTATATTGCCTTTTGTGGGCACCCTCTACCTCGTCTAAACAGCAAACCAAAGGTTCAAAATTAAAATGATTACAGTCTTCACATCTATATATTAGTATTTATCCAACAGAAGTTAAAACAATTATTAAGAGGCACACACTGTCATCACACATACCACTCCACAAATATATAATTTTTACAGAAAAATAATTTTATTGAGGAACCATTATGGATTTATTTACACAGTTTAAACGTGTTAGTAATAACATATAATGTTTAAGGGAAAACAAGGAACTCTTTGGTTCATCATGGCTGTCCTATTTATCAAATGATCATTTGTCTGTAATGAGCCCTGATTTTTCAAGTATTCATCAAGCCTTCTCACTCTTGAACTCTCCTAATTTGATTGCATTTACCACATTGATCACTGTGCTCAAAAAATAAAATTGTCTATTATGATTAAGAGTAGTGTAAGTGTTAAATGTTCACAGTGTGTAAGGTGTGACAGGTGCATTTAAGGAAGCTAGTAGTGAAGAGGTACAATTTTTATGTAGAGTTTGTAGGTTGAAAAAGAAATTAGAGGGTATACTAAATAGGATAGAGATAATGGATGAAGAGAAGGGTAAACTGAGGGAAATGGCAGCAGAATTTAAAGAGGAACTTAAGCTTTTGCATGCAAAAGATATAATGGCTAATAATGTTTTTTAGAAAGTTAAACACTACTAATAGAGCTAGCAGTAGTAGATATTATTATAACGAGCAGGTTCTATCGAATAACAGATTTCAGCCTTTAGCTTGTGTAGATAAGGAGCTAGGGAAGGGAGGGAAACAAAGAGGATAGATAGGGATGGGAATGATAAACAAGGTTATTGTTATAGCTGATTTCTTTAGTATGGCATGTGGATAGGATAAACTCTATAGTGAGATGAAGAATTCAGCTGTTAATGATTTATAATTATGGGAGATTTTATTTCAGGCATATAGATTGAGAAATGATAGTCAAATCATGAAGGAGACAGGATTTTATAAACTGTTTAGAATGGTTTTCTTCACTAATTAGTTAACAAACCTAAAAGAAACAATATTATTTTAGACTTATTGTTACTTTTTTAATATAGAGATGGTTGATAGGGTGGAGATTGGAAACCATCAGGGTGTAAATGATCATTGTTCAATTAGATTTGATGTTTTACTGAGTATGGAGATGAGGAATAATTAGGTTTTGGTTCCACATTTTTTAAAAAATAGCAAATTTTGAAGTGATGAGACAATTATCTGCTTTGAATTGGGCAACAAGTATTTGAAAATTCTAATCAAATGTGGAAAAAGTGTTAAAATAACTTCTTAATTATACAGGAAAGACAAAGTTATCTCTGTAAATGTGTGGGGAGAAGGGGATAGGTTAGCTCAGTTGTTATAAATGGAGTTCATTCAAATTGGGTTAATGCCACAAGTGGGGTTTCTCATAGCTCATTGTTAGAACGTTTTTTTTTGGTTTTTTTTTTTTTGGTTTATGTCAATGATGTTCAGGCTGGCTGTGAGGAAGATGCTGCTGCTTTACAAAAGGATTTGGATTATTTGGTGTTGGGAAATTAAATGACAAAAGTTTTTAAATGTAAAAAATGCAAGATAATGCAAGTGGGATATCACAATTTGAAATAAGGGTATAATTTTAGGAGAATAACCTTAATAATGTTATGGAAAAAATAATCTTCATGTTTTGGTTGAACAGTCTCTTAAGCTCCCTTAGCAGTGTGCTGTTTCTAGTGCCAGAGCAAATAGGATTTCATATTGTATCTACAGAAATATTGAATATAACTCTAAAGATGTTATAATGGCATTGTACAAGTCATTGGTTAGGCTACATTTGAAGTACTGTGTTCAGTTTTGGGCTTCTTACCTTAGAACAAATATTAACTATCTTGAAACGAGATCACAGGAAGTCTTCTAGGACTATACTTAGGATGGAAAGGTTGTTGTACAAAGATAGATTAAGAACTCTGAAATGGTTTTGCTTGAGAAAAGAAGAGTTAGAGGAGATCTGACTGAGGTGTTTAAAATTGTTTTGAGAATGGTGAGACAAGGGGATGCAAATATTTATTTTGACTGTGTAGAGGTCATCTTCAGCTAAAAAAAAGCTTTATTTTTCTATTAGGGTGGCCTGTCTTTGGAATGGTTTGTCTTCAGAAGTGTTAGTCATAGTTAATTTAAGGGAAGGCTTGGTAAATACTTGAATAATAATAAAGGCTGGCTTTGAGTGTTTTATCTTCATTTTAGAGTTTAATGTAATAGATGGGATGGCCTAGATGGACTAACACATCCCTTGAAGAAAAACTTTAATATAAGTTTAACATAACAGCAAATGTACAATGTTTCAACAAAACCTTGTTGAAACGTTGTACATTAACAGGTCCCTTGTTTCCTTAAATTTTTATGTATGTGTATATATAATTTACAGACAATTTTACCCTACCTGATTTTAAATTTATGCCCCTTGTCCTACCACTTATCATTAAACATGAAAACAAAATTATGCATCAATCTTATCTTGTCCCTTTATAACCTTGAATACCTCAATCAGATCCCCCCTTTACTCTTCTTATTGTAGTTTACAAGATAATCCAGAGGATTGGGGATAGTCTTTTGATTTCTTTGTGCTGTATTCTGGAGACAATTGGATTAGAGGATGAAATTTTAGGATTAGTAAAAGACAGGCTAGACAACAATTAAGGTTAACTTATGGAATAAATTATTGTTGGCAGTGGTGGAGGCCAACACGAAATTTAGCACATCATGCCTGGTGGGGTTTTTCTGCTACTTGATAGCTAAGTTGCATTACTGAATTAATAAAGTCGTGGAGAAGTTATTCAAAGTCCATCTCTACATTTTATTCTTTTTACATAATATTATAATATTTAGTTGTTTCAACTAAATTGTTTTATTTAATTATGTTAAAAAAGAAATTTAACCAAAAAGAATCCAAAATATGTTTAAGGTTGTAAATAAGTGCTCTCTAAAGTTAAATTATGGTCTTTGTAACAATCTCTATCTCACACTTGGCAAATCATAGGATGATAAGCTAAGCATAAATAAGAGCTCTTTGTCTGTGCTTTAAAATGGTGTATAGTTTGTGATTTAGTTTAGTACTTCTCAAGCTGTCAAGAGAAATTCTGAAGAAAGAAGTTGATTTGTAACGTTTGAAATATATGTTTTAAGAAGAACTTCACTAGCAGTTTGTGACTTTCTTTTATTTATAGCATCTAAAAACATGCTATGTTGTGTAAATATATATTGTAATCATTATATTATTGTATTAACTCAAAATAAGTACTTTTGTGGAAACAAAAAACTGATTTATGAGTGTTAGGCCTAGAAAAGTTTAGATTCATCAATGACTGAGTGCAGGGTCTTAGAAGTGAGTTAGGCTTAGTGCTTTAAAATGAAAGAGATAAATGTGAAAAATGAGCTTGTAACAGTTGTACTTTTTCTTTCTTCTTGCTATCTTTACTCTGCAGTCTAAAAGCCTCACTTTTCTGTTTAAATATATAAATATTTAAATATAAATCACAATCTATTTATTTTGATACTTTACAAAAAAGTTATAAAGGCAGAAAATAAAATTGTATACAAAAGGTACAAATCAAGATACCCAAACCAAACAGGATCATCAGCAATAACCACATATACTAAGTACTAGGAGTAAAAATATAAATAGGAAAAATAAATTAACCAACTTTATATGTAAGTAAATGTACTTTATACAATTCAGTACAAGTCATGAGTAGAACAAAAAATAATTAACAATGCAGTTCAAGTTGTGAAGAGCTTATGTGCAAACTATAAAGTTATACACTAACCAGACAAATACTGAGAACTATGCACACAATTCTTGAGCAGAAACTAAACATAAGATATGTACAAAATTATACTGAAAATTGAGCACAGTAATATATAATAACTAAATATATGCAAGGTACACAAAAGCTGAATTTTTTTATTTTCAAAAATATATGCATAGTCAAAAAAAAGTCTTTGCCTAAACACTAATATGCAAAAAATAAACATTTAGAAATTCAATGCAATGTGCAAATTCATAAACATTAACAAATAGAATTGTGTTTGAAACAAAGATAAGACCTAAATAGAAATGCTGAGTAATGGTTTAAAAAAACAAATAGAAAACAAGGTGTTATATACACCAAACCTCTACTGAAGAAAGTAAAAGTGGTCAGCCTTTGTTTTATTTATTTTCAGAACATTTGTAGCAAGTGCAGAAGTTAAAAAACCTAATTAGCCATAGCATATTGACTAACTTTAGTAGAAAAAAGTTAACTTCTTTAAAGAATCTCATAAGTATGATACTCTTCAAAGTACCTTACACACACAGATTAACCTTGCATTGCTTGCAACTCATCTTAATTAAACTTTTGTGGGGGCACATTCTGTACATTTTCCTTTCTTCAGTAAATGCTGGAAAGTGCTTCCCAGGTGAAAGCTGCTCATGTGCATCTAACAGAGATAGTGATGGAATACTTAACAAATGAGAAGGCTCTCCTTGACATGAAATTAGTGATTTGATGAGAGATTCCACACCAGTTCTAAAGCAGAAGTTAACTGTGCACTTACTTACCTGTGTGACATGAATTAACAATAGAAATGTCTAATGAAAAGTTTCTTATATAATTTTCCAGTTTTATGTAGAGCTGAGAAATTGATCGTTAAGATCAACCCCTCCCATGAACTTTTTGTAATCCACAATTATCTGTGGCTTGTTAATCCTGTCGTCTTGTCACTCCCATTACTGTAGGTACTGTGCATTATAGAAAAACGATAAACATATCTTTTTATCAGTCCACTTCACTGCAGTCAATGAGACACAGCTGAAAAACTGTGACTTCTATTTTTAATTTATCTGAGAAGTGGGCCTTGTTCTTCCCAAAGTGCCAAGTGAAAGCAACTTATTAAACAATGTTTGAAAAGTTATCAGTAAAGAGAAAATGTGCTTTTCTAAGGTACTTTTCCAACAGAGTCATTCCAGCTGTGTCAGCTAAGCCCTTGGAAGGTATGGACACCTCCGTACTAGAGAATACTTTAAAATTTTGACAGTATCCAGTCACGCTTCTGCCAGAGCCCACAACATGATCCCCCCCCCCCCACTTGTTCATCAATAGATAGTTCCCTAGAAGGGTTATAGTGAGCTGGAAAAACTGTTAGATGATCAAGCACTGGCTTGACTTTGAGGAGTTTATCATGCTTAGTAGTAGTTTTATGTAGATTATTAGCATTATTATTGAAATGCAGAAAGCAAATGACAGGAATGTCAAAAACCAGGGTAGATGAAGTGAAGGAATGATAGACTAGTAATCCGTAAGAGATTGGAACTTGGTTATTCAGAATAATTCCTGTATTAATAGTAACACCAAATAAAGCTAAATTTTCTGCAGTGCATGGTTACTTTGTTGCTAGTAGTAGTAAAGTTATTATTACTTTGTCAAAAAAGTATATTGTGTCATACAAATGCTTTCTTTCATTCTCACAAAAAAATGTATGTGGTATTACATTTTAGTCTTAGGCCTACATCAGACACAACTGAATGGAACAGGGCTGAAGATAAAAGCAAAGAATGAACAATGCTTGTATACTTAAACAGCTGCACTGATAATACATCAACATTCATTTGGGTTACATAACTAAAACAAATTATTAGAAAGAAAACAGTATATAAAAGTAATACAAGAAAATGAGCTATAGACTACTCTTGCAAAAGATAACTACATTGATGTACATATTTGTGTGTATGGGTGTACGTAAATACAAGTATATATTTACACTAAGATAATTAATACATTTTTGTAATCCCAGTTTCTCTAACTATATGATGAGCCATTAGGCATGTTCATATGTAAATTGATATTATACTAAAATTAATAACATACTGGAAAATATAATGATTCATTGATATGATATTGTTTTATCAGTAGATATAATTAAAGAAAATATTATTTTTATTATAATAGATCAAAAATTACAAAATGTTGTATGAGAAAACAATAATGTTTTGGATGAAATTTTGGTTAAAAGGACACTATTAATAAATATATGTACGTATACTATTGGATAATTAATCAATTTGGACAGTGAATAAGGTTTGTATTCTCAGTTCCTATCTACATCAAGAACAAGCCAACCACTGGCATTAGTGTTCAGTAGTAGTTTTTTTTTAGTGCTGATCAATAAACTTTCTGTAATGAAGAAATTAATTGGAACTAATTCTCTGTACAGAAGTTTTGTAAAGAAAGTAATATAATTTGTATGTAATTATAGGCATGCTGTTGACTGAAATGTAAACCAAGTGGAGTTTTAGAGTGTGTTTTTTATTGCAGTTTCTAAGATGCTCATTTATATATTCATGAAAAGCCTACAGATCTTGCCAGTGTAAATTTTCTACAAACTTTGCATGTGAATCAGTAAACAATGTTGTGTGTTATGCAATGACCTTTGAAACCTGTTCAGACCACTTTATTTTGACAGATTACAAGCTCTACTGCTAATAGAGTAAAACTAAAGTGGATGCATCATTCATACATTATTTTGGTTTAGTATGATTGTATTCAATTGTTTCTTTACTTTCTCTAAAAGTATATAAAGAGCTAAAGTGTAAGAGAGAATTGTAGATTGTTTTAATGAAGGGATTTTGTGGATTTATAGTTCAAAGAGATTCCATTGTGTGTTGGCTTTACATATGGGTTTGTCTGTCATTAACTTTAATCGTTGCAGAAAACTGATGTATTGATTGTTGAAGGGTGAACTGGATGTAGGGTCTTTTTTGGTTCATGTAGTTATAAAAAGTATCTAATCTGTAGAAGAATGTATCCAGCTAATTGAACTTTTATAGATATATTGGTTGCAAATTAAGAAATGTTGTTATATCTCAGTAGTTTACAAATCTTTAGTTAGGCCTTGCTTGGAATATTATTATAAAAAACTATTATGATGATTCTGGGGATGGAGATTTATTTTATAGGGATAGGTTGAAATATCTTATTTGTAAAAAAAGCTGCTATCCTTCAGTTAAGACAGTTTTATATTTGTTAATAGGGTAGTTAGCTTGTGGAATGAGTTGTTGGCAGTAGTTGAAAGGGCTGACACCTTAAACAACTTTAAGAGGGTGTAGATTATTTCTTGAAAAATAAAAGGTGGATTTAAATTAGTACTTTTTCTCAAGGGTGTGTGTTCAGGAACAGCCTTGAAGAACAAATGGTCTTTTGTTGTTTGTTAATTTATTAAATTAACTAAGAATATTAAAAAGAAGAAAGTCTGTCTTAGAACCATTCTTGTTTTTTTTTTATTACAAGTCTTAAGTTTTGTACTGCATTTCAAAGAAACTACAGTTAAAATTTAAAGCCATACAGTAGTTAATGTGCACTCTAAAAGTTAAAATCAAAGTGTATTATTATCCAAAAGTACTTATGAACTCAAAGCTTAATTGCATTTTATTTGCCTACATACATTTTATTCACATATTGTTCAAATTGGATAAATCCAAAACTTATGTGAAGAATTGACTTGTATTTTCTATTATTTATTATATATTTAAATGTTGCACTTGTATCTGATTTTATGTTTTTTATGAAGAACTAGGGGAGAAAGACTGTGATGGTTGGAGAAAAATGAGATACTCAGAATGGTTTGATCTGGATAAAAGCAAAGTTAAAGACACAGTCGAACGTATCCATGTAAAAGATGTACCTGTTGATCAGTTTGTAGAGAAATATGAGAAACTCTACAAGCCAGTAGTTATTGTTGGTTTAACTGATCATTGGAAGGCAACCTATAAATGGACGTTACCTGTAAGTTAAAAATTGTATGTTAATAGTTCAGGTTACTTATATCTTACATTTCTTTTTTAAATAATTACTTTTACAAGTATTTGCATTATCAGTCCAGTTTCATTTACTTTGTGAAGTAAGAAAGTTGTAAATACAGTGTTTTGTTTTCAGATGATATAAATAATTAACTAACATGATGTCAAGGTGCAATATTGAATAATAAGTTTTTGTTGTTGTTGTTTTTAAATGAGTAAAGTTAATTGACAGGTAATAGCATAAAAGAGTTAGATTACTGTATACTGTGATAGAGTCATAAAAGATCAAGCTGTAGTAATTTGGCTTTAAATTGTTTAGAATATCCAAAAACACTATCTAGCCATGCATAAATGTAAGCTTACATATGCAGATTTGAAATTTCACATATATTAATGAAAATGCATTTTCTAAAGTTATTTTGGTGTAAGTAAGTGGAGTTAAGGAAATGTAATTCCAAAATGTTTTATAATTTTTAAGAATTTTCCACATATCTGGAAGACCAAATATGTAAACTTTTTGAAAAAACATTGCTCCTGCCATGAATTATTTAGTCTAATTCTTCTGTAACTTTATTTGTGGGGATGAAAGTTTCTGCATTTTGTCCCATGCAATAGCCTGACTGACATTTAATGTATAAAATAATTTTTTTGTATTTTCATTGTTACCTACACTGTTGAGACACTCAACATTTTTTCATAAAAAGTGTATTGCTGAACATGAACCAGTTTTTTTATTTGAAATTAACTTTTAAAGTCATATATTGTTGCTTCAGTTTGGATACTTCCTAATATTTATGTTCTTTGTAAGCATCATTCATGAGCAAGAAAATAAAGAATATTTAACATGTGCAGGAGTGTTGTTTTTTTTGGGGGGGTGAATGGCTAATTGAGAATTGGTGAATGCTAACTGTTGGACTCTAGCTATCGAAAATTGTAAGTAAGCATTTTTACAAAATTTATTTTATTTGACATTATACATTATACTGATAAAACAACGTGCAAAGATGCATGGTAAAAGAAATTTTGAATAAGGTATTGTTCATTTATTTTTGAATGAGTTACAGAAATAATTTTCTTCATTCATTTACTGTTGTTTTTTGCTCTTTCTGATCACTTGATCTACTGCTCTGAACTTTGAACATACTGAGAAAACTTGATTATGTATATGTATTGAAAAAACACAGAATTAAGAAACTCCATAATAAAATAAATATGTAAGCTACATTTTTCTGTATCATTATTCACAATATTAGTAAGGCCTGCTTCAGTCTCATTCTGACAGTGTAACTTAAAAGATAAAAATACAAAGCCAAGACTATGTATGATTCTCTGAATATTAAGCTTAAGCAGTGACAGCAACTAAACAGAACATGTAGCATTTTGATTGAGTTGGGCATGGCCTAATGGTTAGTTTACTTGAACTGTAACTGAGGGTTCATGGTTTGCATCCTATTGTCACAAAAATGCACCCTTTATTTTGAGGCTGTGGGGATGGTTAAATCTCACATCTTCAGTCAGAGAAAAGTAGATGAGCACTTTTAACTAGCTACCTTCTGTTATTGTAGTATTTTAGTTTAAAATTAAGAACATTTATGTGCAGATTGCCGTAGTGCAGGTTTGTGCCAAAATCTTAAAACCTCTTTCATCAATAAATATTAATTTTTTTTTAAACAAGTTATCTAATAATCTTGTAAGAATACTTCAGAAATGAGATTCTAGCTGAGGATGTCACTCTAACTCACAATAGTAAACTTGTTTATATATTTGTGTGTGTGTATAAACTGATTGTTAAAATATTATCTTTAAAGTTTCTGTACCAGTTGCATAGGAAAATTTAAATTACTTTCTTAGCCTCAGAGGTTGCATAAAGGTTTTGAAAAATGAGTATTGTGAATTCGTGGGTAGCCTAAATTCCAAAATGGTATCCCTACTTCTCTCTACACAGTAGCTATTACTCATACATGTGCCTTTGAGGTTTTACACATGCCACTAACCTTGATCTATCTCCTTCCCAAGACATGTTATAACATGAACTGTGATTGTCTTGTATATGATGTAATCATCATGCAATAATTACCCTCCAACCAACAGGAGGGTAATGCATCCTCCACAGTAATCCCCATAAGCACTTGCACTTGAAATTAAATTCATTCCTATCCCTGGCACTGTCTTTAACGAATGTGTTTCTTTAAATTTAAACTTAATTTTGTGACAATTATGTTTCCTTTTCACAGTGTTAACTTTCTTTGTTTTCCTTTTAATTTGCTTTAAATTTGACTTAAGGCTACATCATCACTAAATAGCTAAAAAAATTTGATCTGGAGAGTTGCTATAACAGACATAAATTTTCAAGTGACTGTGATTACTACCTCTTCCTGAGGTTCTGATGATGTTGCTAACACTACTCCTACTCTGTCTGTGGCCACTGAAAACTTGTTGACTGTGGAAAATGTTACGCTCATGTTGTGGGTTCTTTGTTGCCTTTCTTGCCTCTTTACCTGTACAGGACAATGTTTTTTCTACAAATCTCTTTGTGGAATTGTTTACTGAGGTTCTTTCTTTACTTTTCCTGTGTCTTTTGATTCTTTCTATTCCTTACTACATGACTCATGCTGAGGATTATTTAGGTTTTCTTCCTTCTCCAAGCATACAAATCCATGTTGACATGTTCCTGGGTCAGTTTCACTCCAACTCTCAGATGCCTCTTCCTCAACTCTAGGATTTCTTCACCATGGTTTATAGCTGTTCCCATTTTCTGTTCTTGGATTTTGGACTCCTAGAGTCCCTTCTCCCCTCTTAATGGGACTAATTCCTATCTCCAATAACACTCTGGTGCTCAATTTTCTTGTCTTCACATTTTTCTTAACCATCTGTTTTGTTACCCATTTTTTCCTTCATTTTCTGTTCTGAAGCCCTATACCATGATAGTTTTGCTGGGAAGCTACAGTTTGTCCTCTTCAAAACCTTGGCAAGGTTTTATGTTTAGCCTTCTCCCTGCTTACATGGTTCGTCTGTTGTTGGAACATTTTTGGATGTGATGCTCTTCTCTCTTCCATTTGTGTTACTCATTTTTTACTTCTTTGACCTCTGTTTAGCTCATTTTCTTTGCCCAGAAGTCTTCAGGGATATTCCTAATGCAGTGGTTTTCTCTTTTTGGTTTTACATCTCTCACAATCTAGTGAGTTCAGTCTTATTCCTCAACCCAATGAACTCTCCATTTCTCTCTTTTCCCTTTTCTTGTCCTTCTTTTTTGCCATTCACCCTACTCATCTTGGTTGGCTGGTCAAGTTTTCCGAGTCATTCCTGACTCAGACTCAATACTGGGTCCTCCTTGGAGACTTTTTTTTCAGTTCTTGGCTCTGTTAGTCTCAGCCTTCCCAAATCATCTGCAGGACATGGATCATGTAGTCAACTTGACTCTTGCATTTCCTATACTTTCTGTGCAAAAGGTTCTATCTTTTTTGGAAACTCTCACATCTCTGGAACAAGTCTGGAACCAGTAGAAAATCCCTCACAATCTTCTGTCCTATCTTATGATGGCTCTTCTTCCTCTTTTTGAGGATCTGTCTGTCTGGATCATGGAGCATACATTTCACACCATTGTTCTGGAACTGTTGATTGCCCATTGGGTGTGTTCCCATTTCCTTCTTCATCTTTGGGGTCACTTTATTTTAATCCATTGTCAGGGTGGGACTTATTCTAGGGACCTTTGCATCTGCATGTTTGACTTTCCCTTTTGGGCCCACTTAATCAGGTTCATCTGACAGCCTGTCATGTCCCAGAACCTTTAGAGTTGGTGGTGTATCAACTCTCTTAACTGGACAGAATTCTTCCTTCAGATTGGGTCACTCTGTCCTAAGGTACTTTGTTGGATCTGTTCTAAATTGGTCATGCTAATAATCAGTGATTTCACCACTCCTCTCCATACAAAACTCTCCCTCTTTTGGTCTATGATACCTCACCCAGCAGTTATGGTTATGGATGTCTTCAACCAAGATTGGTCTTATCTCTTTCTGTATGTGTGCCCTCCCCATTGCCCTGTCTCACGTGTCTTGGTATTGATTTGTGACACTCCTTGTTGTTGTTTTTTTGGCCAGCTCAATCTTGTTTTCCTCTTCATCAACAGATGGCATCTAGGACACCTCTTCCTGTGTGTTCATCTCGGGTGCTCTTGCTCCAATCTCATATGTCTTTCACCCAAGAGTGGCATCTCTTTGTCTTCTGGATCCAGGAATAGTGGGGCCTCATTTGGCTCGATTTATGGATTCCTTTTGCAGCTAACTGTTAGGGGCTTCAGGTTCTATCCATTAGCTTTAGCCTTTGTTTTTCCCTCCTTCCCCTTTGTATCCTTTTCCCATTCCCTCTTACAGAGGATCCTGTCTTCAATCAACATCTCTCTTACACAGTGCCAGACCTTTTGGCCAGGAATGCTATTGAAGGAGTTTCTCATGTTCCTCACTCCTCTACGGAACTTTATTTCCCCTCTGTTTGTCCTACCCCAGAATACTGGGAACTGGCATCCTGTCATTGTTCTGTACCATCTTTGACAGTTTCTCGACATTCCTTATTTTCCTGTGAGTTTTCTCACCCTCTGATGGTCTTTTTATTTGGAGCTATAGATGATAAAGGTTGACAGCTCTAATGCTTATCTTCACATCTCTCCAGCATTCAGACTTTACCTTTGGTCATGGACAACTAGCTTCTTTTACCTCCATTCTCATAGGACTCACCTGACCATACTCTTCTCTCCTTATCTTCCTGCATGAAAGGTTCTCTCTCTTATGGGGACTTGGGCTTCCATGTAACTCCTTATCCTTGTGGAACATGCTCACTTGTGTCTTTTGCAATAGACTTTGCACAATCTGTGGAACCTCTTTCAAGATCCCTTGTCTTCCCTTATCCACTTTATCCCTTCCCTGTATGACTATTTCATCTGGTTGCTTGACAGGACCAATACTATGGAGGTTGTGCCTCTTCCTCTCTTAT